GAAGAGTCAATCAGCACAAGTTCACGACCGTGGTGGACATTTAGTTTGGTACAATACCTTTAGGAACTCATAAAGGGTCGGATTTGAAGAATACAGTTCAGTGGAGTGCAGGAGATATGGATAATGCCGCTTTGCCACCATCACCTGCGGTTCCATTGTATTTAATTGTTACGGACGGACTCAATGGAAAAGGGTATGTGGATGCTGATTTTGTTGAGCATGCTTTAAGTGGCGTAGAAGGTGTACAATCTAACAAGGAGCCTTCTATAAAAACATTTGGTATTGATTCTATTTTAGGGTATGTCACAGCCCATTTTGGTAAATTATAAAGTCATTATAATTTTTTGGAATTTGAGGTAATTCTATAGATTAGTGCTTAGATTCATTGGAAGATATGTACTATTTTGTGTTTGGTTGGATAAATTAATTTTTTAGTTATTGTTGAAGAAGTCAGTTCATTTCTTGGTGGACTTCGTGTCAAGTTTGAGATTGTTGANTGGACTTCGTGTCAAGTTTGAGATTGTTGAATTTGGGTGTGACCTGAATTCCTTGTTGAAATAATTGAAAAATTCTAGAAGTTGAGTCGACTCTGTATCTACTGAGATTATTTGTGATACACAATCATCTCAAAGTCAAAAGCAAAATTGGTTGGCTTGATCTTCATCCAAAGATTTAGTATATCACATGTATTGGAGAGGAAAAATTCTTAGTGGTCGATCATCGGGCAATGTAAATGCAGCATTGGACTAAAGATTTATTTTATGGAAGAAGTAGAAAATTTTTGTCCATTTTTCTATTTCATTAAAAACTTTTAATTGAATAAATATTTCAAATTTAATATAATAATATATGATTGTGACTACATGAGGCATGGTGTTGTATCTTCAAGTCATGTAATCATAGTAATGACTTACCCTAACTTGATTATAAAGTTAAAAGAAAAATTGTTAGAATTTTGGTGTGATCCGAATTCCTTATTGAAATAATTGAAGATTTCTAATTGAAGTGCACGTAATGAAAAATTCAAAATTGAAATATTATTGGAATCCTATGTCATGTTGAAGTTCTATTTTGGAATCCCATTTGGAGTTTAAATTTGTTTTGAACTTGATTTTTTGGTATCCTATTTCATCAACAACCCTATTAGAAGGGTTTGGACATCCTCTACATGTTCCATATAAATATTAGGTTCTTCTATACAATTTTATAAGGTGAGAAAATAGATTGATAGAATTATAGGATCCAATTCTCTCTTCTCCATTATTCTTGAGTCAATAAAATCTCTTAATTCCTTTGCTATATTCTTGTCTTTTTTATTCTTTTGTTTGATTAAATACTTCATTATTATTTGTCATATAACTTCAACATCTCAATCTGGTGGTTTGTTCCACAACAATTAGTATCAGAGCTATTCTGATATTTTGATTGTTTTGCAACAGTTCTTGGTGAACAATAAGCTCTGATTACTTGATGTAATTTTTTGTTTGAAAAGGATTTGTGAGAGAAATAGTTTCTCAAGACATTTCTTAGTTGATAATTGGTGTATCTGCTGGGAATTTGGTTAATATGCATAGCAAAAACTAAATTATTTTCAATCCCGACCAATGATCTGCTTTGTATTTAGATAGAAACTTTATTTAGAATAATATCTTTGATAAATTTCGCGAACTCCTTTACTGATTCTCGAACGCAAACAATCAGGAACTGCAATCCATAGATGTTCAATTGTTTAGCTTTCAATGAAAATCTACATAGGGAACGAGTCTGGGAGAATTTAGGGGTTCTCTTTTCTTGTGCTAGCAAGAATATGAATTATGTACTGTTCTATTTTTCTGAAACCCTAATGGTTTATTAATATAAGTTCAAGTGGGCTTGAACCGTCTCTTAAACTTAACCCGATCCAATATTTAATTATTCAAATTAATTAAATTCGGTACATGTATTAATTAATTTGGACCTATTAACAAACAACACAATTAATGAATTGTACAACACTTGTTAATTAATTAATTGGAATATTATTCTTTTGGTTCGTCTTTTATGTGTGACCCATCAGGTTCCCGATCACGATACCTAACGACGTGAATTATTATTTTGATTTAATCAAAATCAATAAATTAAAATACCCCTTTCAATATATCAGTAATCCACATTCGTCTCCCTGATTGACATATAACAATGTGTTAGTGCAATACATGTGACGAAAAATATCACATGGCGTGACAAAATCAAATTTGTTCGTTTACTGTGAAACTATAATCATTTTGTTAATATGATCCGATCAATTACGAGATATGGATATGTATCAATCTCAATTATCGATCATATCTTTCATCCTACTATTAAGTCAATGTAAGTCAAAACTCATTTTCGACTTATGAGTATACCTTGATCAAAGATTTTGTTATCAACTTAACTGAATGAAATGTATATCATATTCTCTTACTATCTTAGGGTGACGAATCCTCTATTGATAATTCACAGCATTCATATAATTCTTTACATACCCAAACAATACCATTTTAGTGACCCTTGGTAGAGCAACATCCAACATCACCAAAGTAATATTGTCCACATATAAGGAACTATGATGACCTCAAGTCAAATGATCAATTTCACAATCGAACGTTAGAGATTAACCACTAATACTCAGATAGTTATATACGTGGAATCTCCCCAGTGGGTCTTCGATGTTTTGTTGTATAACAAAACATCCACGTGTTAATTTAAGTGTCACCATACTTTAACTTGTGAGATCAGCTACTTACTTCATAAGTAAGAAGTGTCACACATGATGGTTTATCCATAATAACGATATCCGTATCTCATTATTACTTACGACCAAAGATTATTTCAGATTCAATCATATATAATTTGTATCTCACAATTACAACTCCTTGTGATTAACAAATTGTCAATAATTGAATATAAGGATTCTATTATTTAATTTACCAAAATATTAATTTAATTAAATAATAGATCTTTCCATAAATGTGAATCAATTATATATTAAAAGTGTTGATGTCCAAAGTTGGTTGGATTCAGAGCATGACACTTAAAAACTCACATTTGCACTAGATCCAATCATGCATGTATCTTATACTATAAGAATCTACATGACGATCTTATTTATGCTATGATAGCTCTTTGTCAGTGGTTCTGCAATTTAATAAGTTGAGAAAATTCACTCTTTCTTTACGTCATTTAATAGTATTATATTTCGAATAAGATAATATTGCCTTAACACATGTTTAGATCATTGATGAGACCTTAGTTCATTCGCTTGCACGATGACTCGATTGTTATTACAATGCAAAAACACGTGATCAACAATGTTAGGAACTACACCAAATTCATTTATGTACTTCCTAATCCAGACAACAACTTTTGTTGCTTTTTAAAGCTATGATATATAAAACTTCTACTATTGAAATAACGATTGTTTCCTATTTGGAACCTTTCCAGCAAACCACTTAAGCATAATCCAATATCCTAATTGAGATATGCTATCATTTCTAGTATGACTAGAAGTTAGCATCAGTGCATCCATGAATTCTCAGTTCATTTTTCTCCATATAAAACTTGAGAAGATAATATATATGACGAAAATATCACGTGCCAAAAATGACATTTAGTAATGTGTCAGGGCAATATATATGACGAAAATATCACGTGGCATGATAAAATCAAACTTGTTCGTTTACTGTGAAACTATAATCCTTTCGTCGATATGATCCGATCAATTGAGATATAGATACGCAGTCTCAATTATCGATCATATCTTTCATTCCACTATTAATTCAATGTAAGTCGAAAACTCATTTCCATCTTATGAGTACACATTGACCAAGGATTTCATTATCAACTGAATGAAATGTTGATCATAATCTCTTACTATCTAAGAGGGATAGATCCTCTATTATTCATTCACAACTTTCATATAATTCTTGACATACCCGAACAATACCTAATTAGCGACCCTTGGCAGATCAACATCCAATATCACCAAAGTATGACTGTTTACATATAAGGCTATATGACGACCTCAAGTCAAATGATCAATTTCACTATTGAACGTTAGAGATTAACCACTAACACTCAAATAGTTATCTATGTGAAATCTCCCCAATAGGTCTCCAATGTTTTGTCATATAATAAAACATCCACGTGTTCATTTAAGTGTCACCACACTTTAACTTGTGAGATCAACTACTTACATCATACGTAAGAAATGACACACGTGATGGTCTATTCGTAATAACTAAGGTTAGACAAAACTCCCGGACTGAACCGAAAGAACCGAGCGATTCTTCTTAAACTAAATACCCGAACGGGTACTCGAGTCGAGACCTAAAAGGTAAGGTTCGGTTCGGTTCTCGTTTCCAGACCCAGAACAGAAGAATCGAATCTCCCAAATTTTTTTTAAAAATTTTAAATAAATCAAATTATTTTATTTTTTTAAAGTAATTTTTTAACTAATTGTTTTAGCCTAAACTCAAAATATGATTTCCATATTTCTAATTTAAAGTCCCATACCCAACTTAATAAAATTGATCTAAGTTTTACCCAATTGATCTAAGTTTTACCCAAATCTTTTATTCTACCTAGTGCTGTTCTGGAAAAATTGAATTGAAAGCTCGGCTATCCCTTTCTTCATTATTGTGAGCTCACTATCTTCATCTTCTTGTGATTTTAACATCCAAATCTATGAAAAACTCAACAAATAGAAGTGCAAAAGATATCACGGGATTGAACTACGTTATTTTGTAAGAGCTAAAATTGAACATATCATTAGTTACATTAATGCAGCGTTGTAAATATTTAAAAAAATTAATTATTATATGAAACTCGATGACCAAACTGAATAGAACCCGAACGGGTCCATAATTAAATTTGGACCCAACGGTTCCACTTATTAATACCCGACAATTTTGAGTCTTTGAAGAATCGAACTGAACCAGACCGGACCAACGACCCTAGACAGAGCAACATCCAACATTACCAAAGTATGACTATCTACATAGAAGGCCCTATGATGACCTCAAGTCAAAAGATCAATTTCACTATCGAACGTTAGAGATTAACCACTAACACTCAAATAGTTATCCATGTGAAATCTTCCCAATGGGTCTCCAATGTTTTGTTGTATAACAAAAATCGACGTGTTCATTTAAGTAACACACTTTAACTTGTGAGATCAAGTACTTACATCACAAGTTAAGCCTGATGGGTCAACGAGTTTGGTTTCAGGAGTTAAATTTGATTATCTTATTGATCGAATTCAAAGATGCTAATGATAAGCAGAAAGTCCTGCGTGAGGGTTCTTGGGCTTTTGATAAATCTCTCTTACTGATGGGTGACATCGATGGAAAGCAGCCAATTAGTTAGATTCAACGCAAGCACAATTCTTTTTGGGTGAGAGCACATAATCTTCCCTTCTCTGCTCGAGCGAAAAAGCTTGGAGTTCTGATCGGTAGCTCTTTTGTTTATGTTGAAGAGGTGGATGCGGATGAAAGTGGCTTCACGTGGTAGTGGATGTCACAAGGCCACTTCTTAGAGGAAAGAAAATCTGTATGGGGGTGAAGGCACTGTTTGAACACGATTCTCCTATGAGAGATTACTCGATTATTGCTATCACTGTAGCAAGATCAGACATTCTGGATTGCAACCCTTGAGATTCGAATTTGGTGGAAGATGATATATCAAAGTTCCCCTGTAGTCCTTACCTGAGAGCGAATAGTTTGGGAGGAATGAGTCGATCAGGATTAAATTTGGGTAACGGTAGTACAACTGGCTCATTTTTAGTGCCGACATCAGCTCGGCCAGAGGCTGCTACAGCATAACACACAGCTACAAAAATTCACAGCAAAATCACGTAATTCAGCTATTGCTACGTGAGGGAATTACAAAAGTGCAAATCGAAAATCAAAGGATGATTCCAAAACTGAATGATAGAAATTTGAAGAAATGATTGAAGTAAATTCAATAAAACTGAATAAAAAGGGGAAAGCTATTACGAAAGAATCTCTAGATACGTGGTAATGAATCAAATGGAGTTCGTTGATATGTCACCGTTATAGATCCACGATGAGAAGAAGACTCATGTTGTTTTGGGCTACTATGATAGAAATGGGCTGGGTCTGATCAACATTGCCAATTCGGCTTAGAGTGAAATGGAGGCCCAATGGGTTATGGGCTCAAATATTATGGAAGGGCCAGATTTAATTCAAAAGACCAGTTCAACCTAAGTCCTAAAGAAACCAGATGGGGAGGTGACTAGGAAATGGAAACGAATTCGAACTGTGGGAGCCCAGTCCACGATAGAGGCTTCATCAGAGGGTTCTTGGGAAACACCTCCGGCTTGTAAACGTAAAGCATCCCTAGCCTCTAGTTCAAAATGAGATATTGGGGAGGATAATGATACAGGTCTTCATGGCGGATCTACGAGGAAAATTCAAAGGAAATTGGCAGAGGCTGGAGTCTAGCCCTGTCGAAGCCAATGAAGCTGCTATCCTGGAATGCCTGTGGGCTTGGGAACCCGCGTAGTATTCGTGCTCTTCGCAACTTGGTGGCAAAGCAAGGTCCTGAAGTCCTTTTCCTTCAAGAAACGAGATTAACTATGAAGGAAATAGAAAGGTGTAGGTATTCTCTTGGTTTTTTGAATTATTTTACGGTAAATTATATGGGTCAAGGCGGGACCTGTTTCTGTTATGGGTCACCTCCATCAATCTAAACATTCAGAGCTACTTGTGTAACCATATTGATGCTATGTTGAAGGATGTTGGTAGGAATAAAGTTAGTTTCTTTATAATCGGTGTTTATGGTCATCCAGACGCCACTCAAAGATATTGTTGCTGGAATTTAATTCGTAGTTTGCACCACTATCGTTCATGTCCTTGGTTCTACTAGGGGATTTTAACGGAATCTTGTGTAACGAGGAGAAAAAAGGGGGTCAACCCAGGCAAGAAAGGCAGATAGTTGAGTTTATGAGGATGTTGGATGATTGCTTGTTGAGGGACTTAGGGTTCCATGGGGATAAATTTACCTGGTGTAACTGGAGGGATGGGACTGGACGTGTGCTTGAATGTTTGGATAGAGCTCTCGCTAACACTTATTGGCGTGTCTTTTGTTCACAAGCTGGCACTTAAGACTATTTTCTTGATTAAGGCCTTGTCCACTTAATATTTTAGGGTTTATTCATTGTTTCTCTCGAAGAATACGATAATGCTTACCTGATCCTCTAACAATGTTCTTCGAACTATAAACCAAATCAAAAAACATAACAATCTCTGCAAGATTATTTGCCACAACTACAAGAGTTAGTTAAACATGATGGGCAAAGGAATGAATGTAGTAAGCACTCAGTTTTCTTTAAAAATAAGTGCTTTGAGACCATTATACTCATCTCGCATATTACTAGCTCCATCATAACCTTGAACTCTCAAATTAATTACACTTTAGCTATATCTAGAGAATAACTATTCAATAGCAGCCTTAAGTGAGATAGTTGTAGTACTTGAAACATGTTTGATACCAGTAAAACATTTCGTTACATGCCCATCCTTCACATATTGTAAGACTAATGACATTTGTTCATTCACTAAAATATTAGAGAGATTCATCAACTAGAATAAAAGATAATGTATCACCAATACCGTTGACAATGCCACTCATTGTTTCAAAAACAACACTCATAACATCCTTTTGAATATCTTGTTAGGTTAATTTGAGATTTACGTGTGCATTCTTCAAAGAAAACAATCATAATCATAGCATTATGATCACATGACCAATCAATACTACAAGAAAATCCCATTGATTGTTTGAATCTTCAGATTCATCATGTCCAATAAATGAAAGCTTGTAAAGCCCCGAAAATTTTACAGAATAAAATTTTTTATTTGATATGCTATATTTTTCTTATTTTGGAAAGTTGGGGAATAAAGTCATATATGTATTAAATTCAATTTTGTTTGGACCAAATATTTAGTTGATAGAGCGATGATAAGTATATCAATATTGAGCTCATTGGACGGCTCGTATTTAATCATGTATATTAGGCTCGAGAAAAAGTTAATTATGATAAATGAAGCTTAAGTTATTGAAGTTTAAAGAAGTTGTCATTAAATATTATTTTATTACTTTTGTTTATGAAAGTGTTGGCCGCCACGTGTCTCTTCAGATTGTGTTTATTTGATTTGGGGATTAAAATAGTTGTATATCATCTGTGTACATTAAGGATGATATACGAGGGTTGTCAAAATCTGTCTCATTGATTGGTTAAGGTATTGTGAAATCAATCCGTAAAAAAATGTCACATTATAACAATGCCTAAATTAATGTCAAGTTTAATGTACATGTAGCTCAACAACCAACCAACATTGTTTTGGAGTAGAAGTTATTAGTTAAAATTTGTGAAGTATGATTATGTTTCCTACTGTTAATTATTTCGTGCTCGTTAAATTCCATGTACTTACTCTTAAATGGAGTATATGGATATATAGGAATAAGATATGATGTAGATAAATCTTTGCTCATCTTTTAGGGATGGCAACGGGGCGGGTAGCCCTTGCACCGTTTACTACCCGTTTATTTTTTTATTTTTTTAATTCATTTTATTGCCCCATTCATTAAAGTTAGACAATAATATATTTTTTAATTTTTTAAATTTATTTTTAAAAGTTAAATTATTCAAATATATTTGGTAAACTAAGGCTTTTATTATTTGTGATATTTCTTAGATAATCTTAGTTGTCATCTTCTATCAAAGCTAATGAAATTTAGTCAAGTTTTCCATTTCGAGTATCAAGTTCTTTTAAATAACTAAAATGAAATAAAATTAAAAATTAAATGGGGTGGAACGGGGCCATTGTTACCCGTACCTACCCCGGGGCAAAGTCCACCACCTTGTCCCCAACTCGAATATCCAATTAAGCGGGTAATCCTTGCCCTTTCGGGGCAAGGCCCCTTGGATATAGAATTTGACGAATTTTTTTACCATCCCTATTTTCTTTTATTTAAAAAAGAGTATTAAGAACTTTACCTTGAGTAAATCATCTTTACATAAATTTATAAGTATTTATTTATCACGTTAAGTTTTAAAGAAACGTTTGGTAGTGATTTAAATTTTAAATATCTGGGTCATTATAGTTTGGTATCAGAATTTAGATTTCATTTTCCTGTAGACTTATCCTAAAAAAAATTCTGTCACTATTCACATGCACAGTCACTGTTTTACAGTGAACAGTTATGAATAGTTACATCATTATGAAAAAAAAGAGATTATTTTTTTGGGTTTAAATGTTGATTGAACTTTCATTATTTTAAATGTCTATGTGGTTAGCCTAGAATTTTCATGATATTTGTTAATAATTCTCCTAAGAGATATAAATTTAAAGATAATGTAATCTTTTTAAAAGTTTTTAAATATGTAAGAATTTGAATGATCCTTAGCACTCAATGACCACCCTCCAACGGCTCTAAGGTATTAATGGGTAAGAAAAGAAATTTATTCAAACCTTTTGTGTAACTTACATTTTTTAATTGCCTACTTATAGATTTTATGACATGCAAATTTTTCCTAGCTAAATTTATGTTTTACATTTCAAGAAAAAAAGAGAGATATGTATTATGAGAATATAAGTATAACCATTTAGGCTTGATAGTTGTATGTGATGGATGAATTTATATTTTTCAAGAAATGGTCCATGAATTTGATGCATGACTTACTGTGAGCGGGTACAAGATTTGAGCGGACAGAGTCAAGCACCTCCTCCACAATGTGTACCGACTCTACAAAATGCACCTCCGTTTGTTCTTGGAGCAATCTTTGTGGCTGATTAGATTTGTAGGTACAAGTCTCCTACTTTTGATGGTGGTTTCAACCCCTTGGCTATTGAGGAATGAATTATAGGTTTTGAGCACATCATTTGACACATTGCTTGTATAGATGTACAAAAGGTATTATGTGCAGAATTTATGTTTGTTGAAACAACTAATGACTGGTGGGAGTCTATCTCACATACTAGGATCGAAGAGCATCAAATTAATCTGACTTTGAATGAGTTTAAGGATGAGTTGATGACAAAATACTTTCTATGGACTTTAAGAGACTTCAAGGAATCAGAGTTTCTGTAGCCAGGTTCACTTACTAATTACGAGAAGAAGTTTGAGCATCTTTCAAGGTATGCCCCGCACTTGGTGGATACAGAAGTTAAGAAGGTCAGGAAATTAGAACATGGACTATACCTGGAGATCAAAATGATCATCACGTCTCATCGTTTCACATCATATTGAAAACTGTTAAAGATGGCTCATACTATATCATACCAGAGGACTACATTTGAGCATTATTCAAAGGAGAGCAAAGAGTTATCTAAAAATATAAAATGGAATGATCAAAACAAGAAAGGATGCAATTGGCAAAATAAGACACCAAGCACACAAGTCTGTTTTGGTGGAACGAGTGAGAGCATCACACCATATCCTAAGTGTAATAAACTTCATAGGGATGGATGTTTATATCGGAAGAACATGTGTTTTCAGTATGGTAAGTTGGGACACATTGCTTTAAACTGCACAGAGCGTCTATAGAAGAAGGATGATGACCAAGACAAAAACAGAAAAGGAAATGCCTGAGTTTTTGCACCTAATCAGCAAGAGGCTGAGTATGATCCAAATGTCAAGTATTTTATTATTATCTTATATACCTGCTAACGTTCTTTTTTACTCTAGGGCTACACATTATTTTTATCTCTGCATCTTTTGTCTAAGTCTAACATTGCATGTGTTAAAATGGATAATGAGTTAGAAGTTAGCATCACTTCAGGAAGAGATCTTTGTACAAATTA